AGTCGCACAAGTTTATATTTAATTCTGTTTTAATGCAAATAAATTGAAAAGAATATTATGCTTAAATCTCTATTTATGTACGACATAAAACCTAAAATATATCTGAAAGGCTTATAACAAGTATCACTGCTTTTGAATTCAAAAGTTTTTGTATGTTTACACTTTTTAAAATGATTCGTACTTTGATGATTGAAAAATCCAAATACCTTGAAGAATCAATGTTTTACGTTAGTATATTTCCCAAGAGTTCAAAAACATAAATATTTGCTACAAAGCCACCTATAACGAAACTGTTTGCTTACATATTTTTTGATAAAAACTTCAATCGTTCATGTATAAAGACAGATATTAATTTTTAATGTAGGAATATTTGCGTTTGAAGAAGATTTTTTAATCATGTTTTTCTAAACATATCGTAAGAACATATGACTTTTGTTTCTGTCTCATGACCAATAGCATTCAACAAATACTGAGAAGGTTACTTGAATAAAAATATGTGACAAATATGTTTTTGAAATGATGAATTTTTTGTTATTAAATTCTCATATGTTTATTTTTTTATGTATAACTAGAGTTTTTCAGAAAATCAAGGCTATTATAATTTTTTTTGAAATAAATTTGCGGATTTTTTTGAAACATAATTTCCCTTTAACGTTTAGAGATACATTGTTAGAAACTTTGTACAAGTAAATATTCAACAAAACTCTATTTTATTGTTATTTTGCCATATTCAAACGAAACAGTCAAATACTCATAAATAAGATAGTATTTAAAATGTTAATTGTGAGAAAAACTGTTTATGTACTGCTTTTAAATAATACGGTTAAACAAACACTGATCCCACATGAACTGATCCCACATAAACTGATCCCACCTAATGAAGTCACTTAGTTCCTTGCAGCTGGGTACATATTATAGACGAGAGGGATAATTTGTCGGACAGAACGGGGTTCGAGTCTCAGCGTTGACACCATAATATTTCCTCTATTCCCTACAAAACATAAAGAGTTTCCAGCTTCTTGCATTCCCCAGTTTGTGTCTTGTACTCTCCAATTCCTGGTACCTAAAAAAAGCCAAGCCTAAATGTTTTATTAAATTTTTTTAACGGTTTTGAAATTGTAAATGGTTAAAAATCCGTATGGTTCCGTATTCATAATTTTATTGCTAGTTTTAAACGGTTTGAAAATCGTAAAGATAAAAATATTCTTTACAGGTAGCTTTAAGGTTAATTGGATAGACAGACTGCTACTGGTTATTTCCCCATAATTTCAGAATAAAAATTCTAACAGTGCATGACAGCATATAACTCTGACAAAGGTTAAAAAAATATTTTGTTCAAAAAAATGTCTTTTTTGTGGTAGCAAATTTATTAATATATCAACGTTAATGCATTTAAAATTCATAAGACTCACGAATATTATATGTTTACTCTGAAGACTATTTCCAGACATGGCTGCATAAGAAATGAAGCAATAAACAAACTATTTGCTGACTTGCATGTATAAAATAATTTTTAAAGCTTTCATGCTTAGATGTTAAATGAAGGCTTTTCTTAGAAGAAACATATTGGTTATTACAACAAATAAAAATATAGTGAGAAATACAACAAATATAAATATAACTAAAATCTCTGCTTGAAAAACAGTGTTATCTTACTTTAATGTATATTTAACCGTGTTTGTATATAACAATATAGTAAGAAATACAACAAATAATACAACAAATAAAAATATAGTATAACTAAGAAAAATACAGGCTCTCAGTACAGCAGTTCTGACTAGCCTGAGAATTTAATCAAAAAATCGCTTCAACGTTTGACCACAATATCCGCACTATGAAGCACAATTCCGTACAAATTTGCCTCTCACTAAAGTGTATTATTATAAAACATGTTTCTGTAAAGTTGAACTATAATATACTTTTTCAGAAAAAAATGGTCGAGAAACAATTTATTTAATTGTTAATTTACCATATTCAAACAAAATAGATGAAATTATAAAAAAGATGGAGCTGTTAACCGTAAGAAAAATCATTCATTAAATATTAGACGGTAAAATATTAGAGGTCGTCAACTAAACCCGAAGCTAAAAAGAATCCAATGCTCCTTCTACGGAAGCTGGAAGCTAAGCCCTGTGATCTGGATTCATATTTTTATTTTCCATCATTGGACGCATAATAATCTTATAGCACTAAGCGTCAGACGAATACCTAATGAAGTTACAGCTGGGTGCATAGTTTACCAGGGAGGACAAACCAATGAATTTCGTGACTGGCTGAACGGAAGTTAAAATACCTGCGCTGGCACCACAATATTAATTTCATTCCCTTATTACATAAGGTATATCCAGTGTTCTGCACTCATCAATTGGTGATACTGAACTTTTTTAATACGAAATATCACATTCACTCATCGATGGCAGCACTACCGAGAATCTTAGCAAGAAAAATTTAAATATTTTCCAGCTCTCATGATATATGGTAAAACTAGATATTCAAAATATCCAAGTTCCACGGCTTACTTTAGAAAGTATAACATAACCGCAACCTTACTAACATAATCATTACCTAGCAAAACGTGAGATATAATCTACTGCAATTTACAATTAAAATTCATTTTTATGGTTTTAAATCCATGCTAGTTGTGAATGGTTACAAAACCGTAAACGTAAAGAAATGAACCACATCGTAAATGTTACGGTAAACTGGATGAACAGAGTGATGTCGGTGACTTCATCGTAATTTTGGAGCGAAAATTCTAACAGAGTACCCTGTAATCAACTCTTTGATGTATGGTGAGATTGTTTACTTTTGCGTCGAATTAAGATTGCCGTAAATTTAAACTTAATGCTGAATGGTTAACTAAAATATTTTACTGTGTAATGCAAATTTAAGTTTGAGTAGAAGTTGCGAAATGTCTTCAAATTTTAACAAAATATTTATAAATAATTATTTTTAGATTTGAAAAAAAGTTTAATTCACTACACGTGGTTTTACATTTCAACCTTTTCACTCACTGTGACACTTTTGTCTCTTCTCGAAATCTATAACTACATCTGCAATTATAATCAATAATTGTAGATGTAGATCTATAATTGTAGATAATTGTAGATCAAATCTATAACTACAATTTATCCACAATAAAGGAATTGAAGAGAATTATGCACAAAGTGTGTACGTGTTTCCAACCTTTTTTGTTTTTACAACTATGCAAACTCTACCCAATTATAAATAGGTTGATAGGTAATTTGAAACACATATCCGAATTTTTTATAATCGTTCTGTACCTTCAACTAACTAAAGAAGAATACAAAAAATAAAAACTCAAAATTTAAATAAGCAACTGTAAAAAAATTTTTGTTCTTTAATATTCTGCAATAACTGCACTCTGTTATATTAATTTTCGCGAAAAGTAAATTTACTAAAACATAAAAACGGAAATCTCAACTAACACATGCTAGTGTGAACTGACACTAAGTAAAAAGCAGAGAAAAATGTTGAAAGAAACCTCTAAGATAAATTTGAAATGAGAAAACTACATAATTCTTACATCAAATAAGTTAATATAATTAATCAATTTCAAACCTTAACATTATAACAAAAAAGTGACCACCAATATCAATGCTTGTGTGAACAATGTCCCAAAAGCTGAAGTTATAAAATGACAAAAATCCAAGTTAAACATTTCCTTTCCTTAGAAAATCACTAAAAGGAATTTTAAACAATGGGTTCGTATAGTGGAAATAAAAAAACTAGTCGAAATCTTGAGTTCCCTGAATCCCTGATGAGGTTTCTTTACTTTTTCTCTTCTTTCGATCTGAAGATTTTGCTGAATAATGAAGAAAAACCGGGTAAGGAGTAGCGCTTGAAGGAGCTGGTGATCACTGTGACCTAAATCTCGGAAGAAGCATATTGATTGACTGAATTTTTTTCTTCTTTTTCTTTTTATCCCAAGTTTCATATGAAGTTTTTTACTTTTTTCTTTTTTGGGTTCCTTAAATGTCATTAAATATCTTTGGCTCACGCCAATTAAAGCATAATCGTTCAATAAGATTGTCGTTTTCTTAAGTAAAAATATATCTTTTATATTACCTTGTTAGAAAACAATATATTATGATTGGATTTTTACAAGAATTGCTGAAACATGACTTAATAAGTATTAAATAGCAAAATAAAATTGTGGCTTTGCGCTTATTATAAAATATTGAGTTAAAATATTAAGAAGCAATGGAAAATAATAAAGATAAATGACAAGAGAAGAAAGAAAAATATTAGAATAAAATTATTTTTAAAAATGTTTGAATTTTTTATTTTTTTAATCTACACGCATTTTTTTTATTCATCTATTCTCTCTCTCTCTCACTATATATATATATATATATATATGTATATATATATAT